TCCTCCTCTTCTCTCTCCCGCTGGTGCTCCTGGCCCCTCCCTTCTACTGAGTGCCCCCACAGCAAGCAGCTTGCTCTGAGCCGCTGTTCTGTCTTTCCATTCGCACTCAGAGTACAGCTCAACCTCGCCCCCTGCTCTCCCTATTGGATTATGGTCTGTGATTGAGAGTAGCCAGAGCCAATGGCTCCCACTGCTGTGTCAGCCAATAAGAAGCTGCTCTTGTGCACATCGCTGGATCGAGAAGGGGCTCAGGTAAGCATTAGGGGGGCTGTGGGGGAATGCATAAAGGAAAAAAAAAACCTTCAGCCTTTACAACTTTAAAATAGCTCACTTATATGATATGCATCACCTGTATCTTGTATCTTCAGCATTTTAGAACTTTTTTATTACATCTGCATAACAGATTTTTCAGACCATGTTTCATGTTACACCCATATTTAGGTCCACCCAAAAACACCCCCCCCCCCCCCCCACACACACAGAATCTGGGGGTTCTTCTTCCAGCACAGCCATATCATTCATGCACTGGAAATTGTGAATTTAAAAAACTACAAGTCTTATCTTGTAATCTGTTGATACTTCCTTTAACTGAAGGTCTATACCTTGTTACAAATGTGGGCTGGAGGAAAAGTCTGCAGAAACCAAAGTATCAACTTACTAATTGTGGTTAGAAGCATTGCTTTGCAGGCTCCAGTGCAAAAAAAAGCTAAATGACCGTTTTTGCTTTTTTTGAAAACTGTCAAATTTTCCTTCAATTTTCAAGAGATACAGAACAATTGTGCAGCAAGAGTACAAGGATTTCAAAATATATGGTACCAAGAAGTAGCAGGACAGGAAAAACAGTGAAAAGTAGGCCAATTAATGAATCAGAGTTAAACATGCATCAACTGGGCAGCACAGTGGCTAAATGGTTAGCACTTCCACCTGGCAGTATTAGGGTCACTGGTTCGAATCCCAACCACAGCACCACCTGCCTGGAGTTTGCATGTTCTCCCTGTGACTGTGTGGGTTTCCTCCATTTTCCTAACCACACTCCAAAGACATGCTGGTAGGTATAATAAATAAAACTTTAGAAGATAGCAAGTCTAGCCTGTGGTGAACTGGATTCACTCTGTAGGTACTGCTATAATCCTTCAACAAGTACTCTCATAGAGGTAAGCCCTTTGCTGGTTGTGAAGGGAAAACAAAAGGATACAAAGGAGAAGTGACAAAGACAATCAGCAGTTTTGCTTTTAGAAATATGAGTACATCTCTTATTTTTATGCAAAAGAGAAAATTATTATATAATTGAAATTATTTTAAGAATCTAAACATTGTTAAAGACTCAGAAGAAGACAGCAAAGTTTGTCAGTTGAGAATGAAGGACAGCTCAACTGTATAATTACACTCTAGGTTAATATTTGTGAAATTATTGTTTTACAGCCATTTGTCGGCACTCCTGTGGCGATGGGTTTTGCTCACGACCTAACATGTGTACGTGTCCTTCGGGTCAGACAGCTCCATCATGCGGTTCCAAATCTGGTAAGTTGCATATAGTAATTTTAGCAATTTTTAGATTTTTTTCTTGACCTTGAACTGTCCTCATTTTAAAAGGAAATCCCTCTCTGCTTAAACATTATGATCCTTTGTAAAAATGAGGAGCTATTGAAATGAGTACATATGACCATTTGTTGCAGTTGTAGAGCAGCAAATACCTAATTTGTTATGGGTGTTTGACCATGCCCTCCTCAATATTATGTTGATTTACAGCACAAATTATATACAGAAGGTATTGACGTATAAAGCCGTTCATAACACTGCCCCAAATTACATCACTGATCTTGTCTCTAAATATCACCCAAACCGTACTCTCCGCTCCTCGCAAGACCTCCTACTCTCTAGCTCCCTTGTCTCCTCCTCCCATGCTCGTCTCCAGGACTTCTCCAGGGCTTCCCCCATCCTTTGGAACTCCCTCCCTTAATCTATCAGACTATCGCCTACTCTGCTCACTTTTAGGCACTGAAAACCTATCTCTTCAGGGAAGCTTCAGCTAATACTGGAATCTTCTACTCTTCCAACCACTCCATCCCCCACAGTTATTACCTTTTGTACCACTAACCCCTCCCTCCTAGATTGTAAGCTCCTAGGAGCAGGGCCCTCAAATCCCTCTTGTATCGAAATGTATTGTTACTGTATTGTCTCCCACTATAATGTAAAGCGCTGAGCAAACTGTTAGCGCTATATAAATCCTGTATAATAATAATAATAATATTGAGAACTGTCATGCCCTCACAAGAGGCAAGCTTTTCTTTTCTTGTTTACATCTGTCTATATCTAAAGCTGGGTATACAAGTAGCAAATTTTGGCTGGTTCAGCGGAAACTGGACAAAATTCGGTACATGTGTAGCCCTAGAACAAGAAAAGAAATCTCAGCCAGCGAGCACCATGCAAGCACCACGTGTAATAGGTGGTAGCAGCTTCAGCCTAATGCCTAGTATATATGATGAGAATATCGGAAGAATGATCGTCCGTGTTTCTTTTTGCATGCTTGTCTCCATATCGAAAATGAAGAGGTTACTCAACTTACAAAAATTCTCGTACGGCAGCATAGAATTTTGGAAGTAATGTCATGTCATGTATTGTATCTTTGGATGACTACTGTACTGATTAAACAAAAATTGTACAATCTGGTATCGTACAAGCAAAAATTTTGCGCTTGTCCCTTAGGTTATTGTCGTAACTGTTGTGATCAGCTCTTGAAAGCTGTATACTAAAGATCAGATTATCATACAATCGCTGCTCCTACAAAAATGTTTCTATAATTTTCTTAACTCCATCCAGTCCATGTCCCCCTGACATGTTTCACCCTACCCACAGGGCTTATCCTGCTTAAAAACGAGCACTCAATCACAGAGTAGGGGGTGAGAGGGATTCCTTGCTGTCACAATACAATAGTGCAGTGAGGGTGATCCCTAAATCCACATTGCTGCATTCACTACAACCCTGATGATTAAATGAAAAAAAAAGTGCATATTAGCCCGCTTGAGGCACAATATGGAGAAGGGGTATCCACATATAGTAACTGAGATTCGGATATCAGACTCAGATATGGGGGCATATTTCCTAGTGATAATAATAAGGTATTTTATAATATTAGATTGGATCAGAATAGATACAAATAATTCCTCAAAATAAAAGAGTAATGCTTTATAGAAGCTCTACACTCCTAGATCCTAGAGCCATCTGGTCACTGGCTAATATAAATAATTCAAAATACAAATACCACATCCTCCATATGTGGCTGCTACTGAGGTAATGAAAAAATCCCAAATAACTACAATTCAGTAAAAAGTCTTTATTATCTAAATAAAAGCTGTGGTTGCATAAAATGCAATAAATTATTGTTAAAAAAGCAAAGTTAAAACACTTAAAAGTATTTAAGAAACATCTTTTCAGTACGTGCCACAATACTTCCTGGCTATACTGTAAATGTTTGCATAAAGATGTGTCCTTGTAAACCTATGAAATAACCAAGTTCATTGTGATTAAATCCTACGGTAAATCCTAATCAACCTCTAATCATCCAATGTAATTCTAACATTTGCTTGAATGATCAATATTACGTTCCAGAGAAATCCATATGGCAGATACCGACTTCATGAGGGAGTGGGACTGCCCAATCGGTAATATGGACAAATGTTAAATCTTGTTCCTCACATATACTCTATTAGGTTCAGCAACTCTATGAAATATGCAAGTTTCAGTAGGCAAACAAATGAATAATGTCTATTCTGTATCAAAGATATCAGATCTCATATGGCAACCACTCCCCATATCGTGCCAGAAGTACGATACAGAATATGTAATTCTATACTGTATATGCCTGTGTGTTTGAATCTCTCAGTGCAAAATCAGATGTCTGTTAGACACAATTCAATGTATAAACACAGTCCAAATCATAGTGACCAGAATATCAGTAGTCAGTATATACAGTATATTCAGTCAGAGTCACAGCATCCAAAATATCAAAAGTCAATACAGATTTTTTCACTTGTCCAAGTATATAGTATGCCATTCAAAACTTGGTATAAAACAAGAGGTCCACTTTATACTTATCCATCCAGTTGAAAGAGGGTTCCTCCACTCCTGGTGTCTACCTGAGAGTGAGCGGGGATAATATAATACAAATAATTCCTGTAAGAGTTCTTTAAATTGACACTAAACTCTTGTTTAAAGTGATTGTAAAGGTTATTTTTTTTTAATAACAAACATGTCATACTTACCAGCTCTATGCACTGGTTTTGCACAGAGTGGCTGTAAACCTATTCTTCTGGGGTCCCTTGCCAGTGCTGTCCGCTCCTCCTTTTCTCCATCTGCCCCCATAGCAAACTTCTTGCTCTGAGGGCAGATGTGTGGGCTTAATACTGAGACAGGCTGTGTGTATCTATAGACACACATAGCGCACATCTCACTTCTCACAGGATTTGACTGACAGCAATGGGAGCCAATGGTTCTTATTGCTGCTGAATCTCTAGTGAGGAGAATGAGAGGGGAGAAGAGCTGCTGCAGACAGGCACAGTGCTGGACTGAGATCAGGCTCAGGTAAGTGTTTAAGGGGGGGGACTGGGGGGAGTGGTCTCTGACTTTTTTTTTACCTTGCAGAGAATTTGTTAAGGTAAAAAGCGTTTTTGGCTTTTTAACCGCTATAAAAAATGCCTCCTCCAAATCCAAATTTCATGTTTTTGCTGCTGTGATCCTGTTAGAGGATGGGTATATTAATCCTCCATGGTGCCACTGTATGTAGGAACATAGCCACACTTTCTTGGAGGGTTCAGGAGCTCATGGAGAACATTATAAGGAGGCAGAAAAACACAGTAAGAAACAACTGCATGAAATATAGATTATAGGGCCATTAAATAGTGGATGTACATGGCTGAGTTTTGGAAAATTAGGATATTGTTTAGTGCAGGGCTTAAAATTTCAAGTCCTGAGCTACTAGCCAGGCCTTAGAGTTACTCACCACCAACAAACACACACAAACAGAGACACCTGTACACACACACAGACATGTACATACACACACACACACACACACACACACACAGAAACATGTACACACACACACACATACAGACACATGTATACACACACAGGCACGTACAGACACGCATACACACAGATACATGTACATACACAGAAATACACACGCACAGACACATGTACACACAGACACATGTACGTACATATACACAAACACACATGTACATGCACACACACACAAACACATGTACACACACACACACACAGACACATGTACACACACACATACATGTACATACACGCAGACACATGTACACATGTACAATTGTACATGCATACACAGACACACACACACAGACACCACCACCCTCCTCCCATAAAAAGTTGCAGTACTTCGTTGTTCACTCACAGATCCGGGTACTGCACTCTAGGGGGAGGCAGAGAGCACAGCACACACTCCTTGCTTTGCTTTCACTGTGCTCAGCTATTGAGCAGTCTGATGGTTCCCAGTGCCAATGACAGATCCGGACTGAGCTCCGAGCCTGCTCAGCAAGACGGCCCTGGGGGACACACTCGCCCCCACCACAATTTCCACTCGCCATTGGCGAGTAAGCGAGTGGAAATTTCAAGCCCTGGTTTAGTGTCACTATAACTTACAATAGGTAAATATTTTGGCGCTAGAGTGGTAAATAGATCTTACTAAAAAGTCCAAAGTGCATAAGTAAAGTCCAACTGGTAAATGAAGGGCGAGGGGGAAGACGGGGGAATGGGCTGTGAATGTTCCCAATGAGCAGTGGACAACCGACAGCATCATCAGTGGCAGTACCCTCAGAGTAAAGCTGGACTCTCTAAGCAAGGAAAGAGAAGAGAGGGGCACCAGACTCAGTGCAGCATTAATTGTGGGAAATTTATTGCAAGGTAAACAATTGGCAACTCACTAGAAGTAAAAACATAGATAGAGAGCAGGTCAACCTTGACGTCGTCCCGTGGCAATCTCGGCACCCAGTGGAGGACAAACGGGAGTCCTTGAGTCCAACTGCAGCTGGAACGGATCTCCTAGGTCTCCTGGAGTGGCCGGCCCCCGAAGGGGAACCAGCTTGGAATGCAAATGGCGCCAGGGCTGACGTGACGTTAGACGTAGGAGCGTGGTGACGTAAATGGGTGGTAACGCGTTTCGAAGCGGAGCTTCTTCCTCAGACCTGAGGTTGGACGCAAGGACTCCTGTTTGTCCTCCACCGGCTCCTGGGATTGCCACAGGAAGACGTCTAGGGTGACCTGCTCTCTATATTTTTACTTCTAGTGAGTTGCCAATTGTTTACCTTCCAATAAATTTACCATGATTAATGCTGCACTTAGTCTGGAGCCCCTCTCTTCTCTTTCCTCACTATAACTTGAAATGTATTGATAAAAAACACCTTGGTGACTGTGGGATTTTATTATATTTTTAAAAAATTTTATAAATAAATGTAACCCGGATCCACAGAGCTCCCGCCCACTGCTGCATGGACCAGGAGTCACTGACAATGTCAATATGCTGCAGCCGCTCACTCACAGCCACTGTTGCAGCTGTTCTCCCTCTCCTTGCCTGCCAGTGAGGAGAGAAGAAGAGAGAGAAGACAGGACACTTGTAGAACTATGCTCCAGCTCTGTGTACAGCCAGAGAAAAGCCCCCCACCGAGCACCAAGAAAGAGCACAGGAAGAAGAAACTGAACTGTCATGCATCCTGTAAAAGACATGGGCTGCTGGAAGGAGCTATGACTTGTGGGGGATGTAGTCCTCAGGGAGACTGAGGCTCTAGACCTACAGATGCAAGCAATACCAGTGCTTTGTAGGACTGTTCCTGGCCTTGAGGCAGTCATTGGGAGGATGATGAAGAGCACTTGCGCAGTGTAGCTGCTCCTGACGGGATGATTTGCTGTAGTGTCTGTGATGTAAAAAAGCCGAGTCGCTGACATCTCCTGGTCTGTGGGAACACCACTCTCCAAGCTGGTGTCACCACCTAGTTGTGGGGAGCACATTACTGCAGTTGTCATCGCTGAGCCTCAGACAGAACGCGTGAGGAGACCAGTCATCACGCTGAGTCGGTGAGAGGCTTCTGGCCCTACTGCACTTTATGTAAGGGAACAATGCTGCTCACTTGGGACATCGATTAGGCACTTATACCACACTTCAGAGGGACTTACGTTTGAGTGCTCCATTGCTGGATTTGGGCTCTAGCCACTGGCAAGTGGAAGAGGATTTACCAGGGACTGGCAGACCATTATCTTTGTACTGCCCTCTAGCTAGGACCTCCCATAGTATAGGGATTAGGGAACAGTCATAGGTTTGCTAGTGTATTACAAAGTTTATACATTAGTTTGCAACTGTTTCCACACGTTTGTTGGACTGTTTATTGCTGTTTTCTTTTCATTTGATTGTTAAATCGTGTAGTGCTACAATAAATATCCACCGTTTGACCCTAGTGTGTCAGGGAGTGGTGCTGCTTGGAAAGTTGTTGGCACTGGGAACAAGGGACCCGAGAAACAGCAGCTCCTTCAAATGAAGTGTTCTTCATAAAAGCTTATCAAATTCTTCCTTGAATACTTCACCCTGCGTTAGCTTGAACTAATTGATGGATCTGTAGTGTCTGGTTTCTCTGGCCATTGTAGCACATCTCCCTTTTTTGTTTTTAAATGAGTCCTTTTGTTCTGTAGTCTATCTGAGTAGATTCTAACGTGGGTTACCCATAGTCCCCATGGGTACGAGCCAGCATGGGTAGGGGTAAGCAGAAATGTTAGAAAAAAAAAATGGCATACCTGTGATTGTAAACAAAGTGTTGCTTGGTCACCATAGCTGGGAATATACCAGGAATCACTTTTTGATCAATTGCAGATTCCCCATTTTGCATACTAATATATCCTGGCTGCCTAATTGTTTGTAAACATTAGTGACTTTATGCACATACTGTCTGCCCGCCACTTCCTGAGGGGGTAAGGTTTAAGGTGCTGGCACAGAGCATGGGAAGGCATGGGATAGAGCCATATGGGGGGAATGTGACTGTGTTGCTGTGACTCAGTGTAATGTAAGTACTCCAGTGTACTCAAAATCAGGGTTACAGGAGCACCAGGACTCACCCCAAACCTGAGAAGCTGTATCCTTCTGAATCCACTGTGGTGATCTGTTGGTCCTAATTTGAAAGCAGAACTAAACTAAACACTATTTAAATAATTCTTAACATTCAAAGCAAACTCACCCATCCATCTGTGTCTCCATGATTTATTTAGTTGAAAAATCACTTTGAAAAATACTCCCCTGGCATTTCTAGCCATGACATCTTAAATGGGGGGAGAGGAATAATGTAGCATTTACTTCCTATAATCTGTCTGCCCTTAGCTCAGGCATGCAGTCATGATGGCATGCTTAGCTGAGAAAACCCCTCCTCCAGATAAAAGAAAAAAAATGCCCCTGAAGACTTATGGAATGTATGGCATCATTTTGGCCTAGGCCAGGAACCAGGAAGCAACTGAAGAAATGTAAAAATGTGTTATAACAAGAAAATATAATATACCTTCTTATCTATTTACTAATACTGTCAGTAAACGTTTAAAATTAGTTAATGTTGATTGAGAGACTTTAGTTTAGCTTTAAAGTAGAACTATAGACAATTTTCTTTTTTTTTTTTTTTAATAGAGTAAGATAGGGTTATAACGGCTGTCATATTTCTTTTTCGCCATCTGTTCCATTGGGGAGATTTTCCTTCACTTCCTGATCTATAGCCAAACAGGAAGTGAGAGGAAATCCCCGCAAATTAAAGGAATTCCTACGGGATCTCCATGTCACCAGAACTAGTGTCCCAATTGGAAAATGTCTTCTGTATTACTTTTCTGGGGACAACCCAAAATTTTAGATTTTCCTTTACTTCCACTTTATTTATTTATTTATTTCGGGTACTTATATAGCGCCATCAATTTACACAGCGTTTTACATATATATTGTACATTCACATCAGTCCCTAACCCTCGAAGGGCGCACAATCTAAGGTCCCTAACTCACATTCATAGATATACTAGGGCCAATTTAGACAGGATCCAATTAACCTACCAGCATGTCTTTGGAGTGTGGGAGGAAACTGGAGTACCCAGAGGAAACCCACGCAGGCACAGGGAGAACATGCAAACTCCAGACAGGTGGTGCCGTGGCTTTCAGTGATAATGGTAAACAGGACAAATAAAGAGTGTGAATTTCCCTACCAGAGGCACAGACAGCAATAAAAGCCTGGCAGTGGTTCTAATCCCTCTCCCCTCTAGCTGAAACTAAAGGAAACATTGTGCCTTTAGTTATACTTTAAGTGCACTTACTACAGTATTTTAAAGGATCAAAAGTATATACGGTAGGTTCGGTTTTGGTCCTGACGGATGGGGGTAGGGGTACAATCTGTGGAAATAAACTTTCAAAAAGTACAACTGTGATCCTGTCATTTATCCACCCCTTGATTCATGTTATTACATATGATATATATTTTATTACAACACTAGATGTACTGATCTGATTAGAGAAAACTGTAGGAATGAGCAGTAAATAATTATGAGACCTGACTACCTCAGTCTTCTAGCAGAGTTCACTTATTCCATGACCACTGCCCAGTCAAACTCCCACCCTTGTTGACTAATATACTCAATATACAAAAAAATGTTTTTCTTTATTTCCCTCCAGAGAACATTTATTTTCAGTATTACTCACATAGCAAAGTGCATTCATGCTAACGTTTAAATAATTATTGATATAATCAAAGTTTCAATTCACCTGCACTTATTAATCTGTAGCTCAACAGACTGGCAATCACAATTTCCAGGTATCCTCATGTGGATGTTTATGGATTTATAATACTTCACAAAGAGAAGCCTCTTTTCTACACATTGCCATACACACACTGTTTGGTCACTAGGCATACACTGAGCCAGAAACCTTACAGCCCCGGCCAAAAGTTTTGAAAATGACACAAAATTTTTTCTTCACAAAGTCTGCTGCTTCAGTGTTTTTAGATCTTTTTGTCAGATGTTACTATGGTATACTGAAGTATAGTTACAAGCATTTCATAAATGTTAAAGGCTTTTATTGATGATTACATTAAGTTTATGCAAAGAGTCAATATTTGCAGTGTTGACCCATTGTTTTCAAGACCCCTGCAATTCACCCTGGCATACTGTCAATCAACGTCTGAGTCACACCCTGACTGATGGCAGCCCATTCTTGCATAATCAATGCTTGGAGTTTGTCAGAATTTGTGGGGTTTTTTTGTTCACCCATCTCTTGAGGATTGCCCACAACTTCTCCATGGGATTAAGGTCTGGGGAGTTTCCTGGCCATGGACCCAAAATTTCAATGTTTTGTTCCCCAAGCCACTTAGGTATCACTTTTGCCTTATGGCAAGATGATGCATCGTGCTGTACAATGCATTGTTCCTCATCAAACCGTTCTTGGTTGGTTGAGAGACGTTGCTCTTGTAGATGTTTTTGTACCATTCTTTATTCATGGCTGTGTTCTTAAGCAAAAGTGTGAGTGAGCCCATTCCCTTGGCTGAGAAGCAACCCCACACATGAGTGGTCTCAGGATGCTTTACTGTTGACATGACACAGGACTGATGGGGACGC